TTCGGAGCATTTCCATGAGTTTCCATGACCTGCAGCCAGATGAGCTGCACCACAGCACCACCACGGCTTGCAATGGCCCCCCTTCCTGGCCAAATGTAAGAAGGGTCGGGGACAAGCTTTTTTTTTTTTCTTTATTAACATAACAGATATACATTTACTCTCTTATTTCCCCCTCACACATAATATAGACCGTATGCAACCCTCACACACTGCACCCCTTACACATACACACTGCACCCAACATACACATTGCACCCCACACACACACTACATCCCTACACACACAGTGCAATATGTCTGTGTATATTCGGTAGTCTGTGTGTGTGTGTGTGTGTGTGTGTTCAATAGTCTCTGTGTGTGTATTCAGCAGTCTGTGTGTGTGTGTGTGTATTCAGCTGTTTGAGTGTGTTTTCAGCAGTCTGTGTGTGTGTTCAGAAGTCAGTCTTTCTGTGTGTATTCAGCTGAATGTGTGTGTGTGTTCAGCAGTCTGTCTCTATGTATTCAGCAGTCTGTGTGTGTATTCAGCAGTTCAGTGCACTGCTTTGCCCAGAGGGTCTATATTGCTGTCAAGACGTCCCTGTGCAGTGTGTGTTTGTGTAATGGATTCAGTATGTGTGTGGAAGCAAAAAACAAATGTGAGGAAGGCTGAACTTGATGGACGCAAGTCTCTTTTAAGCTATGTAACTATGTAACTATGAAATAGGATAGCCTAGGGGCTGCATTCTGTGGGTAAAAGCTTTTTTTTTAAAAAACAAAAACAAACTAATAATAATAATTTTATTTCACCCTCCCTGTCTCTTAGCTCTGACTGAGACATTACACTCCCTGGTTGTCCAGTGGCAATGTGCAAGCTGCATATTTAGTGGAGACAGGACCCAGCACACACAAATTTAAGCTTCTGGCAGCGCCTCTCTCTCGAGTCCAGCATGCGTGCCACATGGAGCATTCCCATGGTAACCAGAGGCAACTCTCTGACGTCCGAGTGATGGAGAGGGGAGCTGCTGGAAATGGACGTTCATGAGTGAAGAGGATCATGGGTCCTCTTCACTATAAATGCAGACGGTGCCCAGCGATCACTCAGGATCGCTGGGGCCGTAACAAGTGTTACGGTTGTCACGCCCTAATGGCGGCCCTGACCACAGCGCATTAAGAAGCATTGGAAAGCTGCAGTCATTCGCATCTACAACTCAGAGACTTCTCATGACTGATAGTTTCCCTGGCAGACAGAAAGCCTGTACCTGGGGAAGAGGGGAGGGCTTGCAAATGCTGCAGACAGCAGGTTACCCCAAAGAAAACATGAAAAATAAATTAATGTTTTATTTATGGGGGGCAGGGTAGTAAGAGGTTGCTAGTCACTGTTATTGTGTCTTGGATAATGCCAATGCACACGGCAGCCTATGCCACACAG